CGCAATTATGGCATCAGAAATATATTTATTTGAAAAATTTTAATCGTTTGATTCAATTTTTCAATTTTCGAATGGTGATATAATATCAAAGAAATAGGATCAGTATTCAGGTTTCCGAAAATTCGATTCAGGAAAAGATTTAAAGCTAAAATTAAGGAATTTTGAAAACTTTTATATAAAAATGCTGAATTCGAAAAAATAAATCATTATTTAAATGATATAATTAAATGATGCTGCAATATGACAAGTTTTTACTTTTTTGAAAAGGGAAATATATATTTAAATAGCTATAAATCCTAGTAGATCCTTCATATCGGTCTTATTAATAATTTGAAGAATTTTATATTCTTGGCGGCCGATTATAATCAATAACTACATTGATGATTAATATTATAAGTAATGAACTTTATCTATATAGTTAAGGGCTGTGGTAATGGAATGATAGGAAAAGATGCAGGAAATTCGTTATCAGAATAAATCCCTCTGAAGCCGAGATTGACATGTGGATATCCTTGTTAATAAGCGAGCTCTTCCATGTATCATACATTTGACATATTTGGGGAGTTACCGAAAATGATGAATTGCTCAGGGTGTACTCGGATTTCTTATTAATGGATTTGCCAATTGACGGTCAAAAATATAAGAGCACCTTCGAATAATAAGAAAATTTATACAATCTGAACCAAATAAATTTGGCATATTTATTTTGGAATGAGATTTAAAAAAAGATCAATATCAATTAATCAACGCTCTTCCTAATTTACATAGTAATATTGATTGCTCTTTTGGCTTTGGTCTAAAACAGTGCTTAGCTTAATGAAATTCAAAGGCAATTTTTATCAATCTTACATTTAGTAAGAAAGATAATGAAATACAAAGTTCATACTACTTTTTTATATGATTGAGTGAAGCATAATTATTGGATAGATACATAAAAATAGAAAAAATAGAATTAACTCAGGGTGTTCTCAGATTTCTTATTAACGGATTTGCCAATTGTCGGTCAAATATATAAGAGCGACTTCAGATTCATAATAATAAGAGAATATTTAAGTTGGCTACGTATATTCTGAACCAAATGAATTTGCTTCAAATATAGTTCAATCAACGCTCTTCGTAAATTAAATAGCGATATTGATTGCTTTTTTGGCTTTTGTCAAAAGTACTTAGTATAATGAAATCCAAAGGAAATTTTTATCAGTGAGCAATGTTAGAATATGTAATAAAAGATAATTAAATACAAATTCATAATACTTTTATTATATGGAGCTAAGCGTAGATATCTAAGAATAGTTTTCCTAATGGAAAATTCTCATAAATAATGATTCTACAATCAACGTTTCACGTATTTGAAGAATGAATGGAAATTTTATTTCGAATACAAATATACTTATTGAAAAGCTTTGATGTATAAAATAGCTAATTAGAAAAAGTAGAATTGTTCGAAATTATACGGAAATATATTTTATAGTTATTACTGTTCATAATTAATTTTGAAAATACAAAATTAAGCTACAGTAAACCAAGATGAACAATTTGTAATACTCTTAAAGGTTAAACTTACTGAAATATTTATAATTTCATGTATTACATTTGGTCAACTTTATAAAAGTGATAATGATAATGAAATAAAAAATGCATAATACTTTTATTATGCGAAAGAGTTAAGCATAGAAAACTAAAAATAGTTTTCATAATGAAAAACTTCAATAATGATTCTACAATGAATGTTTTATGTAGTTGGAGATCGAATGGAAATTTAAGATAAATTACACGCATAATTGAATAAAAATTTTCGAAGTGGTACGGAAATATATTCAAAAATTGATACAAAAAAATAGTATATACTTCATTTTAAAAATGCAAAATTAAACTTTGCATTTGCAACTAACTTTTCGTTTTCTTATATGAAGATGCATATCAGCTGCAGTAAACAAAACTGAATTATTTACAATATTCTTCAAAGGTGAATTGAACAAATCATTTAACATTTTATAGATATTTGTTGTGTTCATTAATTTTTTAAAGATGATTAAAGTGAACTATTCAATAAATATTGTTGAAATGAAGCAACGTAATATCAATAACGAATGTTGGAGTTCAATGCCTAAATTAAATTTATCAGAATCTTCAAGAAACAAATTTAAATTTAGTAAATTGCAGTGAGTTATAAAAGATATTTGGTGTTGAATGTGATCAAATATTATATCATTAAGAAATAAAAGTAATAGTGAATAAAAAGCTATAAACCGGTGATTCAGATTAATACTTAAAATAGCTTCATTAGAAAAAAATGAAGTTGTTCGAAATTATGAAGAAAAATGTTTAAAAGCGAATACAAATATTCGGTAATGGTAATCAAAACTAAAACATCTGCTATATTTCTCAAAGTTAAATTTATTAAAATATTCAACATTTTATAGAGTTTTGGTGTATTCATTAATATTATACTTTGATGTACTATTCAAAATAATTATTGATAGAAAAGAGCAATGTAGTCTCAATAACGAATATTGAATTTTCAACGTCTCACAATATTATATTTATCAAGATTTTAAAACAACTAATTGAAATATTATTAAATAAGAGTGATCTATACAAGATTGAATGTGATAGATTAAAAAAAAAGATTAGTGAATAAAATTGTATAATATCGAAAACACTATAAACTTATATTTGTGTTGTAGAAAGCGCTTGTCAATACAAGTATTGTACTATTCGTGTGTGTGGAAAAAGTAAATTATTACATATAATTTTATCGAAACTGGCTGCTTGGGCGTCGTAAACTTTTTATCGGCTATTACGAACTGTCAACCATGTTATAATATAAGAGGCTGTATCGTAATATCAAGAACGATGGTCCATTGGTTGTGCAGACGTGCCCGAAGTTTAGTCCGGATTATAGCTTCCGTGTGGCGCGGACTCCAGACGCAAATGGGATGCGTTGGAGGACTCGATTTTACGACGTCTGCTTGTGCAACTCATGGCCGTGGGGGTTTTGATGCATTTTGAATAAATTTACGATAAATTTTATTATTTGAGAAGATGGAAAGTTTTTATAGAGATTTCATTGTTTTCTTCGATGCTCTCGGAAATACTATCAGAGAAGTTTATAGTTATTGAGAATAGTTGATGTATATCAACATTGGTTTGTGGATCATTTACATTATAAATTTACGTTGCATGAAATTTTGTTATTTAAGATAATACAAAACTAATTATAAACATTTTATTACCACAGATATAAATAATATTAATTATTCATAAATTTCAAGTTTGGTACTGTTTGTGCTCAAATATTCAATGGTTTCCAAATAATTTTTGAAAAGTAACTCTTTCGCTTCGAGAGTGTTTTACGCAGGAGTGTCGCTGCTGTACAGAAAGGCGCTCATTAGTAGTGCCATTAAACGTACAAGACACAGATATATATTTTAAAATATTTCTATCATTATCAATAAAAATGTGTTGAAAAATTAACAATTAAGCTTTTGATGGGTTAACAATTACAATAAAGAGAATTGTAGAAATTATAATAAATAGAATAAAACAATAGAGTTCTCAATAGTTTATTCTCATAGTGATAAATCAAACACAATTCGTCGTCCATGGACGACACTCGTACATACAGCACCTCATTTGGAAGTCATCCATGGACGACATTCGTACACGGGGCACTTCACGCAGATGTCGTCCATGGAAGTCATTCATAGTGAAAGGGTTAAAAATAATAGACAAATGAAAATTTGAAGTTTTTAGGAAACATCATACATAGGTACAATACCAATACATTGTTATAAAAAGTTAGACTATCTTACATATAATTTGATTTAAAAATGAATATTAAATGTTCCTAGTTATTTATTTTATTTTATACTCATAACTAAAATATGCGAGTTCTGATACAATTCTGAATGTTAGACAAATCACGTTTAAATTATTAAAATTATCAAAATTAAATCTTTTTAATAAGCAATAATCATTCGTTTGGCAATTTCAAACTGTTTCAAAAAATTTAAGTATCTGCTGAAAATAAATCTATACATAACTGCAAGCGGTGATTTAGTGGTTTTATTTATTTATTTAAAAAATTGTATAAAATATGCCTGTGATAAGTTGTTTAGGCGCAAATTACGTCTGAATGTTACCTATACTGTTTTACTCTTTTAATAACTACATTATTAAATACTACTATGATCTATAATTATTAGAAAAATGATATAAACAATAAATAAATAATTTTATATTATTAATATGTTAAGCCCTTGATATATAAAATGCTTCAGCTAAATTGAAGTTCCTAGACTGATGATCAAGCTTATATTTTAATTTGTGTTACATCAGCTAGGCTTTGAGTTTTCATATTAATTTGTTTACTGGTGGTGATATTGATATTGGCTAGTAACACGATTATGTTTATATTAATTTATTCAATTTTAAAAATATGGCATAAAAATTCACAATATTGAAATTTTGCCTTAAAGGGGCGGATTACATATATAATTTAATACTCCTACATAGAAGGAATTCAGGAATTTCTTATATTTACGCAGATTTTGCAACTAGACAAAGTTCATTTTTATGGAGGATAATAGGATTTGTAATGAAAGATAAATATCTGCAATAAGCAATTTGTTTTTGGATTGAATGGCTTGTGAATTTACTTTATTATTATACAATGCATTTATTTACTTAGATTAACTATTATAATGACCATAAAAATTCAAAAACAAAAAAATGTTAATATAAGTTGTCTATTAAGTTTAAAATATGCAATGCTTCATGATGCCAGTTTTCTTATCACCTTTCTAATGCGTTAAACCTAATTCATAAAATTTTATTATATAATTTTACCGCTCGCTTTTAGTTCATTTAAAACCGCGACGCGTTCAAAATTTTATAATATCATTTTTATCGGGAAAAAACACAAAAGAAATATAAAAAAATCGTCGCAATTTTTTTAAATTTTTTCTAACGCGTACTTCCAACTCTTTGTTCGGCAGATGGAGGACGAGGGAAACCATGGCAATGATGACACACGCTGCTTCATATTATCTACTTTGGCAGCCCAGCAAAGGTCCAGAGTTTCTTGCGTGCTTTGCGACGATATCATGCCTGTGTTTGATCGCTACCCACTGGTCGATGGGACCTTCTTCTTGAGCCCAAAACAGCACGCCAAGGGATGCCAGGAGGTAAGAAATATTTATTATTAATAATTGAGGAATAACCACTGAAATATATGGTTGTAGTTCACCTATCCATTTTTGCATAATAACTATATTTCTTCTTCACTATGTACTTACGATGAGTGTTCATTTTCCATCAACTCTAAAAAATATGTCAGGCCTCTTACATAAGCCAAATTGAAGATATACTTTTAAATAAAATAATTGATTAGATTGGAATAATATGATTGAATTATAATTTAATTAATCACAAGGAGAGTGTTGTTAAAAAAAAACATGTTGTTAAAAAAAAACACACAGTTGTTAAAAATAAAACATGCCTTTGCAACAGCTGGACCGACTAGGACAACTGATTATAACACAAACTCATTTTCTTGTTTCTGCTTCCAACAACCCTTCTAGGTAACAACTGTCCACCCAACAAAAAAGTAGACAGAGAGCACACAACATTTTTTAACAAGTTATAATCGAGAATATTTTTCTGAATAATTTTCTGATTTTCGAGAGTAGAGATAGCTTTCAGAGTTTATGGTGTTATTATTCATTTGAAAAACCCACAGAGAAATTGAAATAAATAAATATTGTAACTGGGGATGTTTTAATTGGGAGTGATTGTGGATACAAACTAAATTCTCATTATGTCGACTATTTCTATTATTAGCTATGAAAAGATGGCGCCGTTGTATGGTGTGTATGTTGATATGAATGATAGTATGAAATTATATAACATTTCTGTGAATAATCATCTATTGGCATTGACAAGGGTTATTAATGTAGATTGTTATAGTTAGAAATCATATTTACATTTGAGCGTTATGTGGACTGTTTCGATTGTTACCTATGAATAGATGGGGCTGTTGTATTGTGTGAATGTTGGTATGGATGATAGTATGGGCATACATAAGATCACTGTCGATAGATTATCATGACAAGGGTAGTTAATGCAGAATGATATAGTTAGAAACCATACGTAGATAGAGACTATTAGTGTAATTAGTGATGATAAATGAATAAGTACACGATATGATATAATTATGCACTTAGGTTTTGAATATGGTCATATTAGTTAGAATTGCAATGAATTACAAGTAATAACAATAAATATGATAATTAGTTTCGAAAATTCAGAAAATCATGTATATTGCACTAAACACTAATGTTTGTTCGCTATTTTTAAAACAAACCACAATTAGTCACTTAAATTTGTCGCTAGTCGAGCTCATGACGAGTATATTCGTAAATCACAGAGAAAGTTGCGCTAGTAAGATATCGGATGAAAAATATGAGTTTATTTTACTAAATTCAATAATGTTATCACTACATTTGACTTCTTTGTTAACATAAGAATTAAATTAAAAAGGGATTACATTCAATTAAATATGTACATGTAAGAAAATAAGGAGAGTCTTTGATGAAAAGCCAAAACTATTTGCAAAATAAAAGTGGAAAATGTCATTTAAATAGCTAATTCTTAATTGTTATTGGTTAAATATATTATTTTCACATTTCGGGAAGTTCATGCAACTAGCTTTAAGGTAAAATGCTACTTATAACTACGTATTTTATACAGTCCTAGTCTCAAAATATTTAAAACGACTTGACATTCCAGATTACATCTTGTTTTATTAAAAAAAAAATTTAATTGCAAATGGTTACTGTTTTATACGAGTGACGAGAATACTCGTCAATACTCAAATCTCCGCCACTTATCAATGACGAGTACATTCGTCAATTATAGTTAAATGGTTAATAGGATTCTTTTTGATTTCGATAGGTTTCGGTTTTCTTGAGCAGAATTTCTTATGTAGATATCAAAGCTAAGTTTTCTCGAGCCCTTCGTCTATTGCGGGCAATATCCCATCGACAAAACGTCCGACGTTTGGGTAACACGGTTGCGGCGTGTCTGCGTCACGTAACAGGGTAACAGAATCGCGTTAGAGTATTGTTCGGCGAACAGCAGACTTGCTTTTGCGGTGGAGGCGCATAATAAAATAGCACCTGCTGTATTCGTGCATCGTTTACTTCAGGACTGGCAAAGGAATATTTTTAAGACTTATATATAAATACTAAAATTGATGTAATAATTATTATTGCAGGCATAATGCCTTACATTTTCTTTAACTAAAATTTATTTATTTTATTCTCAGCAATAGTTTTAATATTAAAAATCATGAAATAATTTAAGTTTTAATTGCTTTAATCGTTATTGAAAAATTCTTAACTTTACTGGTTGTTGAGATATCGGTAGTGGACCTTCTTACCCGCTCTTATCTCTCCCAGTAATTTTCTGAACATATTTCGATAGTGTGTTGTTCTATATGTGTTGTGTGCAATAAGTGCTGTGATGTATTTTACTAATACAATACTGATATGCTTATAAGCTATATATTGCAATGCTGAATGGGATATTTTACTCGATGATATATTATTAAAATTTGAACATAAAAATTTCTATGTGAAGTAATTAGTAGTTGATAGTGACCTGTTCAAATTTTATTTTTAATTAAACGCAATTTAGTAAAAGCGTTTTAAATTATACAAAAAGATATTTTTAATTTGTTAGGCTGAATACGAAAAAATTAAAAGATACTAAACTAAATTTACAATATTTATAAATAATAAGTTTATTAAAAATATATTAACTTTTTGGGAAATTTATAAACCCTGGTTTTAACTTTTTGCAAGCTTACATACGTGAAATATATTTCGTGGGAACACAGAACTATTGCTTATCGATTTACTAAAGATGATAGAAATTGTTTCTATAGAATAGAATTTATTCTTTAAACATACTTGCTTGATGAAAATACTGGTTTCTAATATATTACCGAGTTTAATATTATTTTTAAATTAAATGATTTTAAATTCATAGAAGATTATTAAATTTTGCAGAATTACAAAACATTTGTATTGCGAAAGAAAAATAATATGATTTAAAATACATATTTATAAATTATTACAAAATTTGTAACAGCAAACATGTTATATATTATTGTGAGTCAAACTAGTACTGACACTTATAGTATAAAATTTGTCATTGAAACATATTGAAGAACCCTGCATGATTGGCAGGTAACTCAATATGTGTAATTAATATACATGTTTTACATGACATAACATCCGACATGATTTAAAAAAGAAAACAATAAAAATACGACACAGACACATTGCCCCGGGCTATAACATAATATCAAGCAATGAGTCTTCTGTCTTATATAGACTAGAAACCCGTACCTGAACAGAAGTATCCAGGTGTGAAATTACAGCCGAGCGAAATAAAAATAAAATAAAATTGAGACGTTACAAAAAATAAAACGAAAAACACAAAAAATAAACTGTGTCGTAAAACTTTTCAAAGAGAACCCTGCGTTGTTATGTCTATAGGATATTAAAGAACAATATAAATTTACTATAGGGCAACCCGAGTCTAAAGTTTAAACTGTTTGAGAATTATTGCTCATTGTTTTGCGTGAGAGAAAATTACTTAAAACACATGTACGTGCTAAATCACATATACGCCTATAAGCTTAGCTTTGTCATATGTCATTTAATAATTATTCATAGACAACATAAAATAATGTCAAAATTCAAAATTGTTTTTTAGTATTTTATTTTTTCTAATCAAGTACAACGTACTCATTACGATTTACTAGAAATTCATACTAATAGACAAAAATAACACAATTTTTACTAGTGAATTTTGCTCACACAAGTTCAAGCATTTGTTGTTTTAATGTGCGTGAGTTAGTGATTATAATTTATGAATAAAATGCACTAGCAAAAATCGTATAAAACACCAGTATACTTTTGAGGAATTATATTATATTTTCATGTTCCATAAAAATATATCCAATACAGAAATATTTTATTCCACCCCCATCCCCTAAAAGGAGAATTATAGAATGATAAAACCTCACTCCCTCGTCTCGCCCAGGTTTGAATGATTGAATGTCCGTGCGCAGTACCGAAAGGGAACGATGACCCAACCGAATACTATACGGCAAAAGTAAAAAAGTTCAAAATACTCAAAGGGAAATCGCAAAAAGTAAAAGATTGCATTGCATTGTGAATGTGCACGAATGAAACGAGACTTACAAAAAAACGAATCGTTAACAACACACACGGACCGTGTCCAATGCATTACAATTCGGCGGATAGTGGTAATCAGAAGGAATTTAGTTTTGGGCAAGGTTGGAGGTTAAATTCGTTCGGTTGATTATTTTCATTCATTTTGAAGTTCTCACGCCGCGGAGCCAAAATTTGTCCCGACAAATAAACGATAATTACTTGACGAAAGTAATTATGGGGATTTGTTAGTCTCCCATAACCTGCACATTTATATTACGATGTTCACACAATTTATTCTTACACTTTAAATTTTTATATCATTTAAATTTAATAGCATTATATTTAATATCATTATTTAGTTTGTGTTATTATCTATCACTGCTATTTTTGCTACTATTTTTCCGATATTCCCGATCAATGCGAAATGCACTCAAGACTTACAATATTTTAAGCTCATATTTGCTTAATAGAAAATTTATAATCAAAACTAAAGATGTGGCTTCGAGCATTAGAAATATAGAATGCGGGGTACCACAGGGCAGTGTGCTAAGCCCAGTACTTTATCGAGCGCATTTTTTACAACAACCAAACCGTATATAACCTCGATGTAATATTTTGTCAGTAATATTCGTCAGCATAATTGGAGTAATTATTAATTTAATTTATCTCTTGTAAAATTGTTTTTTTTCAAATTTAATTTACTTTTATTTACTATTTCCTTATTGTGTACACCTTTGCCGGTATAAAGGTTTAATTAGTACTTTTTACCCTACTCAGATGTGAGCTTTTATAAAATTTATATGAAAAACTGTTGAATCTAACTTAACAGTAACAATACATCTTATAAAACTATTGAATAACCTATACTTAAAAGTTATATTCAGGTCTTATGAACTAAATAAAAGAGCTCAAAAATAAAAAAAATGTTTTGTTTTAAA